AGTAGGCTGCAAGCTTGTGGGGGATGCCGGAGGGTGGGGAGGGGGTCCTGGTGATAAGAGGGCTGCGGCCGCAAATTGGCTGCTGCTACCAGCTGTCTGGCTGTAAGCCAGGGCGAGGCTGACTGAGAGATCTTCCCCTCAAGGCCACTCTGCTCTCAACCCTTCACTGTCATTGCCCTGCTCCAAACCCTTCGCTGGCTCCCATTGCCCACAGGACAGGCGGAATATCTTACATGTTAAGTCCCTTCAGTCGTGTCCAACTGTTTTGCAACCCCATGGACTGTAGCCTGGCAGGTTCCTCCATCCATAGGATTTTCTAGGCAAGAATACTGGAGTGGGTTGCCGTGCCCTTCCCCAAGGGATCTTCCTGACCTGGGGATTGAACCTGTGTCTCTTATGTCTCCTGCATTGGCAGGTGGGTTCTTTACCACCTTAGCAGGACACATAGACTGAGACCCTGTCCACCCTCGCAACCTGCTTTGTTCAAGCTCTCTGGCTTGTCCAAGGGCTCCAGCTTCCCCAGATGGGACACCAGTGTGGCCTTGCAGGTGCTGTGTCTCCAGCTGAACTTCCTTTTCCCCTTCATCTTCAGCAGGTTAGTTCCTAGACGTCCTCCTAGAATTTGACCAGACAGGTCTGAGGTTCCCACTGACTTGCTACTCTACACATGTGGCCACACCTTCCTCTGCGCCCTGGGCAGTCAGTACTCACCACTGCAGTCCCTCCCTTCTTCTCCGCCCCCCCTTCTTCTCCGCCCCCCCTTCCTTCACTCCTTCGCCATTGAATTCCAGGCATCTGACCATGTTCTTGTCACACCAGGGCAGTGGCAAAACAAGGAGGAGTAAGAGCAGACCCAGACTCGCACCCTCAAGGAGCTCGAAGTCCCGTGGTGGTAGCATGAATCCATCAAACAATGAAGATGGAAGTCAAATCCAGTCCTTAAAGAAGTGAAGATTTTGTCCATGATTTTAAAAGTCTACACATAATAAATGCTGGCGAGGATGTGGAGAGAAGGGAACCCTTCTACACTGTTTTGTTGTTTAGTCGCTAAGTCTTTGTGACTCTGTGAAACTGTAGCCCACCAGGCTCCTCTGTCCGTGGGAGTTCCCAGGCAAGAAAACTGGAGTGGGTTGACATTTCCTTCTCCGGGGGTATCTTCCTGACCCAAGGATAGAACCCACGTCTCCTGCATTGCAGGTGGATTCTTGACCACTGAACCACTGGGGAATGGAATGTAAATTGGTGCAGCCACTGTGGAAAACAGTATGGACGTTCCCTAAAAAACTAAAAAAATAGAGTTGCCATATCATCCAGCAACCCCAATCTTGGGCATATATCCAGAAAAGATGAAAGTTCTCTCTCTAGAAGATATATGCACACCAGTGTTCATAGCAGCACAATAGCCAAGACTTGGGAGCAACCTAAATGTACATTAACAGATGAATGGATAAAGAAGATGTGGTACATATATACAGCAGATTATTATTCAGCCATTAAAAAAAAAAATGAAATAATGCCATTTGCAGCAGCATTATCATGTGACTTACTAAATGAAGTAAGTCAGGTAGAGAAAGACAAATATGTGGTATCACTTATATGTGGAATCTAAAAATAATGCAGATGAATTTATTTATAAAACAGAAACAGACTCACAGACATGAAAAACAAACTTTGTTACAAAAGGGGAAGGGAGCAGTGGATAAATTAGGAATATGGGATTAACAAATGCATATAAAATATTTAAAGAATAAAGATTTACTATATAGCACAGGGAACTGTATTCAATATTTTGTAATAACCTATAGTGTAAAAGAATCTGAAAAAATATGTATGTTAGCTGAATTACTTTGCTGTAACCTGAAATTAACAAAATATTGTGAATCAACTATACTTCAATTTAAAATTGTTTATTAGAAAAGATTTTCTTTATGATTTTAAAAAATAATAAAAGGTTGAGGAAAAGGATACATTAAAATTCTTCTAGTCTCAGATCTAATATTTCTTGTTAGTTAAGCCCTGGGGTTTTAGGACTTTGTCACATTCAGTTTCTTCATGTGTAATGTTAGGGACAGGAAATAATTGATCGGGCATTGGGCAGCTTCCATGATCACAGCTTTAGGGCTACTGAGAGAGTGGTGCTGTGGCCTCAGGTTCTGGGGGAATAAATCAGAGAAGACATCCTAGCTTGAAATCTCTACAGGGTTTGCATTCAGAGGGCAGACCGCCCCTCCCTCAGGGAAGACGAGCAGCTTTACTAGGGTCCACAGCTTTCCTCTGCAGTGCTGATCCCGATTTGGAATTCTGCAGTTGCCTTACCCTTTGATGGTCATCTCTTTCCAGCAGGGCCATAAACTCCATTAGAGTGGGTGATGTGCCCATCTAATTTTTTTTATCACAACTTTATTGAGATATCATTCACATACCATAACATTCACCCTTTTGAAGTACACATTCAGTTGCTTTTAGTGTATTCACAGAGTTGTGCAACCACTGACACTATCTAATTTAAGAACATTTTCATTATTCCTAAAAGAATCCTCATATCCATTAGTAGCTTCCCTCTGCCGTTAACCTTCCCACGTGCCCCCAGCTTCCTGCAATCACTAATCTACTTTCTGTTTGTACGGATTTGTTACCAGAAGGGGGACCCCTTCCAGGGCTGAGGAGTGGGCTCTTGTCTAACACTTGGAAGCAAATTGTCCGAGGAGACACATGTCCTTACAAAGCAAGAGACTTTCTTGGGAAGGGGCGCCCAGGCAGAGAACAGTGGGATGAGGGGACCCAGGAGGGGGTTCCCTCCTCCTGGGCAGAGGGTTCCTCAGCCACATGGCTCACAGTCTCAGTTATTGTGGTCATGGCATTAGCTTACCAGGTTGTCTGTGGTCAGTCATCTTGCTCATGCCCACTTTTGTTCTGACTAGGGTCCTTCCTGGTGGCGCCAGGATCTCTCTGCCAAAGGAGGGTTTCTGGGAGGTTAGCAGAACATATTATGGCTTGGTGACTCCTTTCTCCTTTCGGCCCCTCCCAAATTTTCCTGGTTAGTTTTCAGTGGCAGCCCTGTCTTCCTTATGGGGACCTTCCTGTTGTGAGACGACTCATGCAAGTGGTTATTACCATGCCTGACCAGGGCAGACAGTTTTGGTCTACAGTTCCCTAATATTTCCCTGTGCTGCGCATTCCATACAAAGGGAGTCCTATGATATGTGGCCTTTTATGACTCGATTTTTTTTCACTTAACATAAAGTTCTCAAGGTTCATCCAAGTTGTAACACGTATCTTTTTTTAAATTGGGTTGTTGGTCTTTTTATTGATGAGTTGTAAGAGTTCTTTGTATATTCTGAATTAGAGTCTCTTACTGATCTATGATTTCCAAATATTTTCTCCCATCCTGTGGGTTATCTTTTCATCTTCTTGATGGTGTCTTTTGAAAGTTTTAGATTTTGAAGTCTAACTTATGCAGTTTTTTCTTTTTTTTTTGGTTCCTTCGGTTTTGTATGTCGTATCAAAGAAACCACTGCCTGACTTAATCATAAAGATTTGCTCCTGTTTGTTTTTTTTTAAGAGTTTCATAGTTTTAATCTTACATTCATGTCTGTGTCTCTCATTCCTGATTATACCCCCTCTGCCTAGAATAATGCCTGATATATAGAAGTTACTTGATACTTATTGAGTGAAATGAATGAATTGGTATCTCTTAAATGAGTGAATGAACAGATATCTCCTTGTCCCAAAGCTATTCACAGCCCCAGGGTTAAAAGAGGGTGTTAGACAGGGGAGGGTCTGTTTTAATCTCATCCCCCAGTTAACCTGCCCTTAGTGAGTGCTCACAGTTCCTTTTCTGCAGTTTTCTTCTTTCTGTTTTTCCTGGATTTTTGCTTCTTTTTTGTTCCCCCTTTTGACAAAATGTTGCTAAGACATTTCCTAAGTAAACTGTGTCTGGTCTGCTTGCTTAAATGTATGGTAGAGGTATAAGAAAATTTTTTCATTCATCAAAATCTTGGGTGAGATAATTCTCTTGTTGCATTTACTTGTGTTAGACTGATAAATTCAGATGACACAGTAGTGTATAAATCACGAAGGAAGAGTCACCTCCTCAGGGGACATATGACGGCTCGAACTTACTTTTAGAAAAAGTGTGTATATAGAGAAAGAAAAGGTAAGATAACAACTAATGAATCTGGGTGAAGGCTATTTGGAGTTCTCTGTACTCTGGTTTTTATTTTATTAGGCTGGGCCAGGTCTGAGTTGTGGCACTCAGGGTCTCTGATCTTCATTGTGTCATGCAGGATGTTGTAATTGTGGCCTATGAGATCTTTAGTTGTGGCCTATGAACTCTTAGTTGTGGCGTGTGAAGTCTTAGTTGTGGCGTGTGGGATCTAGTTCCCTGACCAGGGATTGAACCTGGCCCCCCTGCATTGGGAGCGTGGAGTCTTAACCACTGGACCACCAGGGAAGTCCTTGTGCTCAAAATTAACAATTTTTCTTACACTGAATTTTTTTCAAAGCAGTGTTTCTCACAATCCCACCCATAGAGGAAATTAAGCCGAGGACCCTGAGAGGCTGCTGGGTACTTGGGGCTTTACATCCATTTTTCATTTTATCCTCAGCTGTTGGAAAGGAAGCCAAGGTGAAGGTGGGCTGACCAAGGTCATACAACCTGCTTGAGTGGAAAAACCCGAATTTGGATTTGAGACTCCCAACTTAAGTCCTCCTATGGGTTTTATGGCCTGTGCATCTCAGGCAGTCAAGCTTTTGCTGGGAATGACCAGGCTATTACCCTTGCCTCTGTCTTCACGTTCTTGACGCTTCACGAGCCTGTGCTCAGCGAGGGTGGGAGGGAGATGGCCCAAGAGTTTCTAGAACAGAGCGACTGCCATGTGGGACTTGAAGGAAAGTGAAGAGGGAATGGAGGGAATTGATGCTCCCTCACCAGCCAGCAGGTGGGCCCTGAGGCTCCCGGGAGGCAGCCCTGACCCCCCCTTCTGCCCTACCTGTTCCAGGAGCTGAAGCTGCCCACCTTCCGAGCCCACTCCCCGCTCCTGAAGAGCCGCCGGTTCTTCGTCGACATCTTGACCCTGTTGAGCAGCCACTGCCAGCTCTGCCCCGCTGCCCGGCACCTGGCTGTCTACCTGCTGGACCACTTCCTGGATCGCTATGACATCACCACCTCCAAGCAGCTCTACACCGTGGCGGTCTCCTGCCTCCTGCTCGCAAGTACGTGGAACCCGCTTCCTCCCCTGTGCGGTGCCCTCCCTCTCCATGAGCCCACGTGCTCCCGAATTGTTCTACATTTCCGTGGTCTTTATGCATCTTCTGTATTCATCTTTAGCTGAATGCAAAGAAGTGAAGCTGCTCAGTCGTGTCCAGCTCTTTGCGACCCCTCCTCCATCCATGGGATTTCCCAGGCAAGAATACGGAGTGGGTTGCCATTTCCTTCTCCAGGAGATCTTCCTGGCCTAGGAATCAAACCTGGGTCTCCCGCACTACAGGCAGACTCTTTACTGTCTCAGCCACCAGGGAAGCATTTAAAATGTACCAGGCTATAAGGCATAAGGATTTTAGCAACTTGATCTTAAAAGAATCCACATAATGACTCTAGAAGACAGATGTTTTGAGTATCTGCATTTCACAGAGGCACAGAGAGGTTAAGAAATTTGTCTTGGGTCTATAGCAGATAGGATTTGAGCCCAGAAATGCACGATTCTGGCATCTTAACCCCATCTGTTGTCTTAACCCCATGTTAACCTCCTTTCTGACATAGGGCCTCTGAATGTGCTAGGTGGGTGGGTGGGGAACTCTAGCAACCACTGCCCTTAGACACGTTTAGAAATGTGACTGCTTGTGTGGGGCCCAAGCAGGACCATTCATATGTTTGCCAGGCCTGAGCACAGGCCTCTTTCAATGAGGCCTCACTAAAACACAGTGTGGCTTTGACCATCTGTCTGTCTGCCTAGGTAGGAAATGAACATGCTCCTGGTCTGGTTCAAACACAGTCTGCCATACCATGCTGCCACTTTAAAATCACCCCCTGGTTTACCGACAGTCTTAAAAGCACCAGCCATCAGGGTCCTGCCTCTCTGACCTCATGCCCTTCTCCCCTTTCATCCCTGGGTTCCAGCCAGTTCCCCTGCTTCCCTGTCACAGAGCTTTGCATATGCTGTTCCCCTTGCCCAGAGCGCTTCCCATTCTCTTCCCCTGCCCATCTGGTCTTGGTTAGACAGCACTCAGGTCCCACGCTTACATCCCCAAGAAAGCCTCCACCACTGCCTGCAGAGTGAGTGGGGCATATGTAAAGTGTCTCTGATGTACAGTTCCATAGCGTCGTGGATTTTTAATTAAAACCCACCTCCCCCACTAAGCAGGCTTCCCTGACGGCTCAACTGCAAAGAATCCACCTGCGGTGCAGGAGACGCAGGAGATTCCGGAGATGCTGGTTCAGTTCCTGGGTCGGGAAGGTCCCTTGGAGAACGGAATGGCTACCTACTGCAGTATTCTTGCCTGGAGAATCCCATGGACAGAGGAACCTGCAGCCTACAGTCCATGAGGTTGAAGTCCAGCCTGCAGGCTACAGTCCAAGAGTCGGACAGGACTAAGTGACTGAGCAGCACTTGCCCCTAAGCAGTGAGTTTCAGAGGGAAAAGGAGCACATAGTGAGGCCTCAGGATATAGTATTTGTGGGCTAAAGGAAATGAATGGAGCCAAGGGTTCCTTTAGAGTGAGGCGTCTGCACTTCTCCAAGTTGCCCTTAATGCAGAGGAGTGGATACCCCAAAGTGACCAGCTGCAGTCACACTTCCTTGATATCTAATCAGATATTGCCTTTGTCGCTACATTATGTTATTGTCCTATTTTATTACAGGGGGCCCTTGCCCAATCTTTTTGCTTCCCACTGATGCTTCAAGAAGATCATGCCTATTTTCTCCAGTGGCTTTGTCTATCCCTGGCACACTGCTATGAACCCTTCCTCACCATCACCCAGTTCCAAACACATGGCATTAGAGTTTTTAACATTCTGCCTTGTTTTCCACCCTGGCACCTGCCACCTGCTGTTATCTATAATCCCTTTGCCAGCTTTGGTTTTACAGCCTTCTGATTTGTAATTTTCTTTACCTTGGGCCAGCTGGCTTTCCCCTGTGATATAGGGGAGCCCGGTTTGCTGGGAGACTGGCCTGCTTGCTAACATCAAAGTCCTGCTTGCTAACTTCAAACATCAGCTCGCAGCTCTCTTTGGTCTTGGGAGGAGCTGTGGGGCTGGCGAGACGTCCCTGTTAGCAGAAGGCAGGAAGGGCGTCGCATTTCGGGGGACCCTCGGGGAGTCTGTGCCGTGGCCTCTGGCTTGCTGCTGTCTATGATCTGTGGGCTGCTTCGAGGCCCCTGGGGTGGGGGACTTGGATTTCCATGGGGCCACCGAGACTCCGGCGTCTGTCTGGGGAGCTGGGGTGGGAGGTGTGCACTGGGGACTTCTTTGTGCCGTGGCTGCCATGGCAGAGGGAGGGGGCCTTTTAGACAGAGAGGCGGACCCCCCCACACACCCACATGTCTGAGGGCGGCAGCCAGCCTCGAGTGGCAGGAGCGGATTTTTCAGGACACCTGCCATATGCTCAGAGGCCCCAGGAAAGAAAAGTTTCCATGACAGCCTGAAATCCTATTCATTCCTCCTTCGCCTCTCCCCAGGCCAACTGTCAGCCACAAGGGAGGTCACCTTGCTCAGGAGGTTCTGAGTTCTGCTAATTTGCTAGCAAATAATTAATTCCCAGATAAGAAGGTGACAGTTCTTGGGTTTTTGCAGCTGCTTCCAGGTAAGGGTCTTGCATAGATGAAACCTTCTCACCCACACGCAGTTTCTCTGCTCCCATAAAACAGGAGCTGGTCAAGGACCCATGTCTCCAGACTGTGGAAGGAGGAAGAAAAGCAAGAGTTTGTGGGCTGTTCCATGGCGGACCAGTGGCAGAGCCGCCCTTTGCCTGTCTGTGATCAAGTGTTATTTATTTATTTTTCATCCCCTGTATTGCTAAGTAGATTCTTAACCACTGGACCACCAGGGAAGTCCCTGTATGACCAAGTTAACTTCACTTCCTTCCTTAACAGAGGAGAGACTCCTGTTGTTGTTCAGTTGCTAAGTCGTGTCCAACTCGTTTGTGACCCCATAGACTAGCCCACCAGTCTCCTTTGTCCATGGGATTTCCCAGGCAAGCATACTGGTGTGGGGTGCCATTTCCTCCTTCAGGGGATCTTCCTGACGCAGGGATCAAACTCATGTCTCCTGCCTTGGCAGGCAGATTCTTTACCACTGAGCCACCAGGACAGCCTGGAGAGACTCCTTCTGGAAGTATCATCTAGGTATAAGTGTACCACAAATTGAATAGAGCCACTGTCTTCTGTAGTCTTCCATCTTATATAGCACCCCTCCCCCGCTGTCCTTTGGTGGTTGTTGTTGTTTCATTGACAACACAGAAACCCCACCACCTGCAGGTGAGTTGGCTTTGACGGTGCCACATAATCATCGTCCTAATGGGGTGGCTACATTGTTTACTGGTCCCTTTCTCCACGCCCAGCCCTATGCCAGCCGCTTCGTACACACATCACTTGGAAGCTTCGCAACCAGCCCGTGTAGTCGTGCTGTCATCTGCCCATTCTGTAGGTTCAGAGAGGCCCAAAGTCACACAGTTTGGAATTTTGCTTTATTTTTTTAAATTGAGGTAGAATTCATATCACAACATAGAATCTACCATTTTAACCGCTGTAAAGTGTGCGGTTCTGTGGCATTTAGTTCACGTACTGCTGTTGCCCAGCATCAGCTCTCTCTGGTTCCAGAACATGTCCATCATCCAGAAAGGTGCCCATGTGCCCCGTGAAGCAGTCAGTTCCCATTCCTTCCCATCCCCAGCCCCTGGGAACCACCAGTCCGTTTTGTGTCTGTCTGGAGTTGGCCTATTCTGGATATTGCATATGGAAAGGAATCATACACTATGTGACCTTTTTATGTCTAATTTCTTTTACTTTAAGTTTTTAAGATTCATCCATGTTGTAGCATGTAGCAGTACTTCAGTACTGAGGTACTTCAGCAGTACCTCATTCCTTGTTATGGCTGTATGGATACATACAGCCTTGTATGGATGGACCACAATTTGTTTATCTATTCACATATTGATGGACATTTGGGTGGTTTGCACCTTTTGGCTGCTAGGATTAGTGCTGCTGTGAACATTTGAGCACCAATTTTGTTTGAACATTTATTTTCAATTCTTTTGGGTATCAATGTCAGAGTGGAATTGCTGCCCATATGTGGTTATTCTGTGTTGAACTTTTTGAAGGAAGCTTGGAGTTTTGCCTTTGCCTGGTTATTGCCATTCAGAGATGAATATGTGCTGAGTCCTTATCCCCAGGATATGGACCAGGGAAGGAGAGAAAGGAGAGAGGGCGGGAAAGAAAACCAGAAAGGCAGGAGGCATGACCAGTGGCATTTTGCTGGGATGGCAAGGCCTTAAATGTAGTATAAGATCTTACAATGATGATATAAAAAGTATGAGATGCAGTAAAGTCTCCGACATATGAATGAGTTCCATTTTGAGAGTGCATTCATAAGTCCAACTTGTTCGTAAGTCCAACAAAGTTAGCCTGGGTACCTGACTAACACAATCTGCTATGCAGTACTCTACTATAATAAGTTTGTAATACTTTTCATAGAAACAACACATAAAAACAAAAGCAAAAAATAAAACATTTTTAATCTTGCAGTACAGTACCTTGAAAAGTACAGTAGTACAGTACAACACTGGCATACAGGGGCTTTTTTTACTGTATATTTTTATTGTTTAAAAGATTCCAAAAGGAACAGAAGCACCTAGTGTAAAAAAATTAGTTTCTCCCCGAATGCATAGTCCCATTCCCAAAGTTTGGGGTGTATCGTTACAGATCTAGATGTACTTATGTATTTTCATAATTGAGGAAGTAAACCTATTTTCATTTCTCATAGGTTAACAGCTGTATAAACTGCCCAGTAAACAAAATTGCCCTCCCTTCCTCCTTTTATCATTCTTTTTTTCATTCTTTCTTTCCAGCTAACCCCAATTCCATTATACTTTCTCTTTGCAAGATTCTGCTTTCTTTCATTGTGACTTTCGGACCCCCACCCACTCCCTGGGAGAACAAGGTTTCTGAGTGCTGAATTGTCGGTGAGCTACATCCTGCCCCTGACTTCTGATTTGTGAGAAG